CAGGAATGGAAAAAGAACTGCTTAAGAATAAGAGAAAGCTTAACCCTGGCTATGCAGATCGAAAGCGCCGACAAAACACGTATCAGTTGTGAGAAAGGACGCCCACACCGCTACAGCAAGGTGTGACAGAAGAATGAAACAGGCATATGCAAGAACCAATCCATCCTCAAAATATGCTGTCGGGGAGAAAGTGTATGTGCGCCTTCATGGTAAAGGACGACTTCAAAAGAAACGTGGTGTTGCTGAGACGGTCATTAAAAAGAGAAATTTAAAGAGGCACCTATATAAAGTGTCGTACACGTCCCCTGAAAGCGGAAAAAAAACGAGAAGAAGTGGCTGGCAGTTGATGATTTAACGAGTTTAACCTTATGAGAAGATAAAAACAAACTAAGAGCGGCCAGGCTTTCAAAACAGAAAAAAGAAAACCATCGTGCTAAATTTCTTATCCCTTTCGAAAAGGAAGACTACGAGAAAATAGTAGAGGATCAAGGATTTGTGATTACGTACAATCCCCCTGGAAATGGAATTTGCCAATTTGCAGGTTTGGCACATCTGTTAAGTGGTCTTGGGATCTTCGGGTCTCCTGAAACTTCGAGAGACGAGAAAGTTGAATACCTGGAAAGTAATCCCCTCGATCACGATGGATTCCCGCTATTAGAACTGGTCCCAGAATACGGAACTTGGGGCGATCACCTTTTACACATGATGCAGAACCAGACGTTTGGGGATCAGCTTACTTTATATGCAGCAGCAAATATGTATAACGTCAACGCTCATGCTATCTCTTCTCTTGGTGTTGGGGCTGATCACACATTTAGCCCCTCATCCAGTATTCCTCTTACTACCGTCTATCTTGGCCACTTCGCTGAAAACCACGGAGAACATTATGTCAGTCTTACCCCAGGTGCTCAAAACAGTGTCAGTGGCTGTAATGACTTCATGGAGGATGAGGACGGTGGTGGTGATGCCATAAATGACGATGACAGATCTAATGTTGCTGATGTTACTGACGATGTTGTGCAGGACGTATCACGTGATTCAGATGACGTCATTGCTGGTGGAATTCATAGCACAGACGATTCACAAGATCAGCAATTTCTGAACAATGATGTTTTAGAGATAATTATCAAACTAACTTTACGCGCCTTCCCTTTCATGAGAGAAAACCTGAAAGGTGTGAACAGATTTTTTAGATCAATGGTCGATAAGGTGCCTTGTCCCAGAGTATATATACCAGAGCTCCCTGATCACCCTATGGCTATCAGCGTGCGGAAAATCATAATGCTAAAAGGTAGAGGAAATGGTCCTGTTGTACGCTTGGAGCAAATAATAAGATCTCCAAAATAGCACCCATCATGGCTCAAGTTAGAACCACAACCGTATGGATGGTTCTTGACAACGGGCATACACTGGAAGCTTGCGTAGAGTCGGGAAAATTAGCATACCTCGACTCTTTCACTGTTGTAGTTAGATACAAAGGACAAACGTGACAAACGACACCTAAAATATGTTTGCAGACTGAGTTTATCGAATATAAAACGCATTGTTTACTTGTTCGCCAGTTATTACGTTTGAGGCCTACTGTTATTACATTTGGAGTCAGTTATTACATTTAAGGCCAATTATTACACTTGTGGCCTCAACGTACTTTTCCGACAGGTGAGTGTTGAGCTCGAGGGAAACGAGTCACACCACCCAAACTACCAGGTAGAGTCGGTAGAACTCCAGTAACTTGGCGTAAGGGTTGGCCTTCTTTTTCTTCTTACTCTTCATAACGTTGCCAGTTTATAGAGACATCGATACCAGATGCATGGATGACGTTCACAAATGGCCAGAAACCACTCAAATGACAAGGGTTGTCGTTTCAATTAACAACAAGATAAAGACTACGAAACGAGACACGTTTTTACTCACATTAGTGTCTTCGAATTCTTTTAAGGGATTATCTATTTAGCTTTCGTTAAGTAAGCTAGTAACGCCATTTATTTTGCTTTCCGAAACAAAGTTTGTACATTAATACGACAGCATGTTTCACAGAATTTGCGTTTGTATAAAAAATGTGTTATAGGAGAGCCGTAGAGATAATTATCTAGACAGCCGTAGAGCAGTAGAGCGGTAGACCGGTCGAGCCGTAGAGCCGTAGAGTACAGTACAGTAAAGTGCACTACAGTACAGTACAGTACAGCACAGCACAGCACAGCACAGCACAGCACAGCACAGCACAGCACAGCACAGCACAGCACAGCTCACTGCACTGCACTGCACTGCACTACACTGCACTGCACTACACTGCACTGCACTGCACTGCGCTACGCTACACTACAAACGCAGCACTGCACACACAGCACAGTACTTTATTATATGGCTGTGTCTCACAAGGACTGGGAACCACCGAATTCACGAATTTGATTGGCTGAAATCGATATTGACCGCGGTCTAGATTTWCCCGTCTAGACCGGCATCCAGACCGGTTTCAATTTGCGTTGAAAAAGTAGCAAACTAAAATACAAAAATGTTCACTGTTTTCTTTTATTTTCTTCTTAATTATTTATGGAAGTGCCAAAAAGCCTGATGACAAAAAAAAGTAAAGAGGACGAGCAAATTTCGGCAGGTTTAAGTTAAGCTCATCTCGGTTTGCAAGCAAAATGTCAGCAAACCAGTTACATTAAACGAATTAAAGTTTTCTTCTTTGCCATATAATAAACATCTTATTAACCGAGCTGAGTCGGTCAGCATGGGAGAATCTTGACCTCGGTCGTGTGTACAGACCTCACTGCGTTCTGTCTGTACTCACGACCTCGGTCAAGATTCTCCCATACAGACCTCCTGCTCGGTTAATAAGAGCTAATTAGTGTAGTGCAGTGCACCAGTGGTTCTTACGTCTGAATATTTTCCCATTTTCACGGCCTTTTAAAACAAAATGGCGTCCACATGCGGGTACTGTGTCACGTGAAAAAATCCAAGGATGCCATTGGTTGAATCGTTGCGTAAACGCAGATGGACGCGAAAAAGTTGAACTGCGTTCAACTTTTTAAAAGAAGCTCGCGATCTCTACGTGCGGTAACCGTACGTAAATTTCTCGAAAAAAAACGTGGGACTGGAAATTTGGAAACATAACGTCAACGCACGTAGGTTTGTGCGTAAAATTGCGTTTTGACGTGCGTTGAAAATTTTCACATGTCATCAACTTGCATAGAGAATTACGCGGCAGTGGAAATCCTTAGGCTAATCATTAAACAGGCCAACGAGTGGCAGACTCCATTACACACAAACGTCATTGACTTCGAAAGAGGCTTTCGATTCCTCTTCTGACCTGACCTGTACATAGACCAAGAACAACAACAAATTCTTAAAAAATAAGAACTATTGGCGACACAAAACGTTTAGGGAAGAAAGGAAAAATAGTATTAATTAAGGCTTACTAAATTTTAAGCTTACTAGCCTAAAGTAATGCCACATTATATATTTACCTTAGCTAGCTTAAGCGGATCGTTTACATTATTTATAATCAAGCGCAAGTGAACCTTTAGGTAAGGAAATTCTTCTTGTCTCACGAATTTCGAAACCCATGTGGACTTTCAAACCACGGCAACTACTATCTTAACGGCTGCTGTCAGTTTACGAGGTACAATAATTAAGAATTTTGTCTATTACGACTCAAAAGTTTTCATGAAATGAAGGAAATCCTTGAAACCGTTTTAGTACCAAAGAACAAATGCATTATCGATGTCGTAAACTCTTAGTCCAGAGTTGTTTTCAAATCTCTTTGTTGTTGCTTGTCGTCATTGTTGTTATTTTTCAATATTTTGTTTTATTTTAACCTAGAATCGACAAGTTTGAGTCGTAAAAAAGTGCTATGAGAAGAAACCAAGAAAGAAAAATGACAACACGTGGAATGGACTATTCCTGGACTGTCCGGCCTTTCCAACTTTCTCTTGGTCAAGAGAAGATCCAGATCTGTCTCTATTTACACTCCTATTGAAGTTTCGAAACGTATTAAAACATAGCGAGGTTGTTTCTTTGATATTAAATATCACAGAAGACATCCCCACATGTTCACTCAGCGCAGGTTTTCTTTCGCTTTAAAGCGAAACGACACTTGACATAAAACATGTCTTCCTCGAAAACATCCAGGCAACGCGCGAGCAAACATTCGCCGATGAACTGGGTGCTATGTCTGAAAATAACTTAAGAGGGATTACCTTGGGTATAAGGCCTATATGGGGGATTCACTCTATTCGTGCTCTGAATAATTGTTTTTTATAGTGTATTGCTCTGGGTCCCTGACCCTTCTCTTTTTATTGCTGATCGCATAATTGAGCTGAGAATTGCGTCCCCTGATGGGGAGAGGACATTTCACTGGGGTGCTGGTTCAAAGGCAGCGAGATCATTAGATACATTTTTTACAATATAAAATACATACATTCAAAGCACAGCTTCACTCAATAACGATATGTCCGCCACACACGTCCTCGCACGCTGCTTTAATTGGCGCCCTGGCGAACACCAGTAACCATGAGCTACGTAGGGTTTCATGTTTTCACCGATCTACTCAAGCCTCGAAATTCTTCTCAAATCCGGGTATTCTTTCATTATTTGCTACTTTGGGAATTTTCCCATGATGAAATTTGCAACTTTTCTCTTTTAAGGCAAGCCTTGGGGGACGAAATAAGTTACCCTCAAGTCAACATGTATGAGTTGCATAGCAGAAAACCCTCACTGTTACCCTAGTAACTTGCCACAAAGCACTTTTTTTTCAAAAGTAGTTGTCGTGCAATCGCTCTTTTTGAACTAATGTAAAGTTTTCCAGTGATCAAGACGAACACCAAGCTGTTTAATTCAGAGCAGAGATTGAAAGTGACGGGAGGAAAGGTTTCAATATACGGGTAAACGTTTCCATATTTATATGCTCTTAATGAGCATATCACCACTCTTTGTAACTGTTTCGATGGCAACTTTTTTTTGGACACATTGCGATCCTATATTTGGGGAGAGGATTATGGGATAATTGGCAATGATGACGTTTCCAAAATGGCGGAAGGTGGCGGTATTGATGATGTTGGATGGTAAAGTCATCAAAATACCTTCTTTATAGTGGTTTTGAATCCTTATCTTGATCGCGAATCGCACTCTTAGTATCTCTTAAAACTAAAAAAGTCTTCAAATGACTTCTTACAGGCATACGGACTTAGTTTTGGCGCTGTCAAAACAGAAGGATATCGACAGATTGCGTGAGCTATGTCGGGGACGAAAAATTCCAGCTGAAAATAGAGCGGACGTGTGGAAGGTACTTATCAAATCTTGTATAGCTGAAAGTACAGAACTACTCAGGTGTAAATGTATTGAGAAGTGATCTGTTTACTTTTTAAGGTTTGTCTGAACGTGGTCGGCAAACCAGATGCGTTGTCAAGTTGGGATGGCTTGTTAGATCTTAATGAACAGGAGACTATTAGGGACGACTGTCGCAAACAAGCGAGTGAGTAGTACTTACAATCACAACTTACACAGCTATCTTCCTTTACTGTGTTAGAGACCAAAGCTGTGATTTGTTCTATTTAAGTAGCGGAGCGATTAGTTTTACGATCATGTGCTTGAATAGATAATTACAGACGAGGCGAGAATTGATTTGTTTAGTACTGTTAGGCATCTCTGTTGTTAGATGCCATTGTTATCAGTTTTCACGTCAAATTTTATTAGTCGTGTGTTATTTGAAGGGATTGTTCTGTTTATCTTGTATCTAATTAGCTATCTTTAAAACGAAGAGGCGTGATGTTCGACATGATCATGAAGTCATTGGCTTTGTAATGCCGTGGCTTCATTCATAATTTATGACAAAAGTTCAAAAGCCTCGGAACGTAATTTATTCCTTTAAAATATATAACCACTGATAACTTTCTTTGATTTCTGTTACTGTATGTGCACTTACATTTAAATTACTTCAGTAAAATGTAACTTCATGAGCTTAAAATTAAATCTTAACTTGAATCTCGTTCGATTTTCGCTGCAGCCAGTTTGATATGCAGACTAGACAATTCCTTTGTTTTTTATGTTATTTATTGTTTTTTCTTAGAGGGCTCCTTTCATGTTGATTTTGTTTTTTGTTCTGTAATTGAAATAAAACTTAAGGTGGCTGAACACAGTTTTTGATACCTGTGTTTCATTCACCTTTTTCTCTAAAACCCTTGATCCTTTGGTCGCCAAAAATGGCAGCAAGTAAGTGAACAACACAAACTTCAGTTTTTTGATGGTTAAGCTGACATATGTGCCGTTGCCATGGCAACATGAAGAAATATAAACAGGCCTTTAAAATCTGTTTTGTTTAATTGCAGAAAATCTAGTCGTTAGATTTTTTTCATAATTTGCATGCAACAAGCTTGTGACAATAATAACTTAACAGAGAGATCTTTAATTATCCCTTGTTGAAGGTTCACTGGAATATATAGAATTTCCTATGTTAAAGTTCAAATTTTTTTCAATACTCCAGTTACTTATCTCCTAAAGTATTTTCATGTCAAATTTTGTGAAATTTTAATGCTCAATGGTTCTTGAGAAATAGGCGTATTTCTGAGAAAGCTATTTTGCATTCAATCGCACTTTTTTGACTTACTGCACATGCGCTGCATTTAACTGGGTCCTTTTGGTAACAAAGAAAAAGCTGAGAATTGCTGGTTTCTTTGCATTGTTATCTCTTCTAACATACCTTTGTAATAAAAGACTAACACCATCAATACACTGTGTTCAATTGTGAAGAAAAATGGTACATATAGTGCAGTTATTGAGCAAATAAAATGATCGCTGTATTGATGCCATGTTTCTTTTTTTGTAATCCTTGTGTGCATGGTAAATTACATTTATTTAGTAAGGGTATGCACAAAAACTGTCAGTGCTTGGCCACCTTCAGCACTTACTAGATATCTCAGCTTAAAGACATGCTGGAACAAGCTCTGTCATGATTTTATTAGCAATATTTTCCCTGCAGACTGCCATGGCTCAGATTGAACAGTACCTAGGCCAGAAGTGTGTTCCACTGGGATGATCCAGATCAGGATCATTGATCCAAAATCACTTGAATCTTGTTGCATTAAAAGAACTGATGAATCTAGATACTCTATACCTCTAGACAAGGATTCATTGGTTCCTTTGAATTGATGCACCATGATCTGAATGATCTTTGACACTTGATCCTGACTGGATTGACCCCAAAGAAATGCACCCTTTGATAAATGAGGCATTGTGCATATATGTAGCATCATTAAATACTTGGAACATTTTTTTTTTTTTCAGCTAAACTTCGACTACCAGAAGATGAAGCAGAGGAGGTGGCAAGAGATATGGAAGGCATCGTTACTTTCTACTGCAAGTCTCGTAATGAGAAATATAACTCTACAAGTGGTCTAACAGAAGTGCTTGCACCTTTTATGATGTTGGAACTGCCTATGAATGATGTCTATAATTGTTTTTATGCAATGCTCTATAAATACATTCCCAGGTAACAATTTCATACTTTTTCCATGACTTTGTGATATTTTGTCTTCTTACCATTAAATAATTATAGTCTTTTGTGACATATTTATTGGAAAGTCCCAAGCTTCAGTTATTTTGTGTTAACTGAGTGAGGACTTCTGGGAGAATTCTATCACCTAAAATCTTTCTTGTACAGGCCAAGCAAAACAAAAACAAACATGTTGATGTTGTACTGAGTGGCCAAATGGTATCAAACATGTTTGATCACCATCCAGATGAAGAGAATGTATGCTGCTTATTCTGTTATGCTTATATGCTAGTGAAAACTAGCCATAAAGCTGTTGAAAATATTATACCTTGGGGACCACATTTTGTTAACTATAAGTGAATGTATTTTTTTCAGGGACTGTGTACGAGATGGGAAACCATTTCACCTGTTTAGACTTCTCTTGCAGTATCATGATCCTGAACTGTGCTCATTCTTGGAATCAAAAAAACTCTGGCCTGATATGTATTGTCAGAGATGGGTAAGTCACAAAAGACCTTGCCTGGGTTGTTCGAAAGGTGGATAACGTTATCCACCAGATAAATCATTATGCAGAGGATAACGTGGTTTGTTTTGTTAACACTTTATCAGTATGTGTACACTCAAGCTCATTTATAGGCCTGTCACTCATCAAATAGGTAAAAAAAGGAGAAATACTTCAAAGAAATGCAACATGGCTAAGCAGGGTCAGTTTTTTTTGTGTGTGTTTTTATCTCGCTAGAAGTATTTCGAACTCCAATTCTCCTCTGTTTCCAAAATGGTTACTGTGAAGAGGAATTTTGGCTGATTATAAACTGTTAAATGTTGCATGGAACACTGGATTACTGGTAACTTTCTTAGCTCTGTAAGTAAGTACATAATATATGTCTCAAAAGAAATTTGTTTTTCTTCCAGCTTCGCAGTCTTTTCATGGTTGCATGTGAAACAGAAGTGTTAAGAGCCATATGGGATTTATACCTGCTGGAAGCTGACCCATTTCTGGTGTTTTTCCTCATGCTTGTAATGGTCATTAATGGCAGGTGAGGTGTCTTGGGCTTCTCTTATGAAGTGCATTAGACATAGTAATGGCAGTAATGGGTGTGTTTGATACTGTGAGTGGAGATCAGTTCCTGTCAAGTCAACACTCGGCTACCATATAGCTGGGAGTTGTGGCAGATGAAATGTCAAAGGAAATCTTGAAATGAGATGATGATGTCTCGGCTTAAAAAAAGGTTCGAACTCATTCTTCTTTTTTTGTGTGTACATGTACACTGGCTGTGAAAATGGCAAAAACCTCCATGTTATAAATGGAACCACACTGCAGGGTAGGAAAAAAAATTGAAATCCAGTTGCCCAGTGGGCCAATACATACCAGTTTTCAGTTGCCCCCTCTAAAATTTTACATGCCCAATTGGCATGCAGGGTTTATGCCTTATCAAAGTTTCATTTACTAGGTACTGTCTATATAATCAAGTATGCTTGGATTTTGAAGTAATCCATGCTTCCAACTCATTGTTTTTGCTTGTCTTGCAAATTGTTTTTGATATCACTAACCATTAGACTACTGCTTAGGCTAATTTCACTTGCCCACCGGACCACCAAACTTCCATTCTCAATTGCCCAAGAGCAAAATTTACTTGCCCCGGACAATCTTACCTGGGTTTTTCCCTGCCCTCCACTGGGAGTTCTGACACAACAACCAATAAACTGTTTTTTTTTAAACCATAACTTTACTAACACATCATTTCTAATATTAAATAACAAAATAAGCCATATAATTATGGTCATAACTGTTGCTTTTGAAATTACAATTTCAGAGATATGCTATTTGAGATGGAACATGAAAACAAAACAGAACTATTAGGTGAGGAATGGTGCTCTGATTTCCTTAAGCCACTGGTGAAACATTCATAAAGATAAAATTATACAACTATCATTAAAATATCTACCAAACCTGGTTTAATTTGGAAGCTTGATAAATCAGCGAAAAGTGTACACCTACATGTGGAAGGGTAGTGCCATGGACACTCAGAAGCCTTAAGTGCATTGTTTATTTTAATTAACAATATTATTATTCCACAAGTACACATTGGTTATGGCTATTATGAGATGATAGCAATTGAGGCTCATGGTCAGGTGCCAAGTTGGCTATCATCATCTCATATCAGACAAGTTCAAGTGGAATAATTGTTTTATTAAAAACCACCCAAAATAAAGAATAAAATGAGATTTTACTGTCACACCAGTAAAATATAGTTAATGGAGTGTGACATACGTTCTCAATGAGCTGTTCATGACGGCATCACTTTCTATAGAGCTATAGAGCAGTTGTATTCCAAAGGTCAGCAAACTGTAAACTTTATTGTAGCTAAACTTTATTGTAGCTTTGTTACCTTTAGAACATTATAACCAACCATAGCATTGGTGCAAAGCATTAAAGCACTCTTCATGTTTAAGATGTTACACATGCTAGGGTAAGCTGTTTGGTGGCACAGCCTTTTCTACTGGCTACCAGCAGACGAACGTCTTCATATAAAAGCTTGGACAACTGTTCCGAGTCCATTTTGAGTTCGTCTAAGCAACATACCTATTACTTATTGTAAATCTATCGTTTAATTTTCCCTCCCTCCCTCCCTTTGGAGACGAGGTTAGTCATGTATTCCTGCATAATAAACAAAGGGTCACTCCTGTGTGGTGCGGTTAAATCTGCGCAGCGACATCCCCCAAGCTTGTTGTTTTTTCATCGCCTTTGAACATCGCTTGCGAACCGATACTCTTGTCCGATCCAGCACGTGCTGTCTGTCATTCAGCTTGTGGTGCTGGAGAGATAAGTGAGGTTGTTTTGTCACGCTATCACAGGAAGTCGTATGGGATAACCAAAGGCAAGGCAGTGTTACCTCATTAACGCCATCACAAGTTGTTTGTATTTGATTAATAGCTCTGGTTCAATTGCAATTCGCCACAGTTAACTTGCTTTCACTAGGAACAACGACATCAATATAAAAATAAAAACACCCCGAAAATTATGTGTAAGCTTACCATATTTGTAGAGCATGGTAATTAAGTAAATAATAGCCTCCATTTGGCCTGAAAACAGATATTTGACCGCGGACATCATCTGTTCTGAGAAGCAAACAGTTTTTTGGGAGCAGAGCTCAAGGAAAATTGTGAGCTTTGAGGAACAGAATGATAATGTCCAAGAAAAAATATCTGAGCATATATTAAAGTCAAATGGAGGCTGTTGTGTTTATTATCCTTCAAACATTTATTGTGCAGTTTTAGCGGGGACACATTTGGTCATGTGACATGTTTAGACCAATTGCGTGTGATCAAAAACATTTGATGGATTAAAATTACTCAATATACCATAATGGCTAACCTGGCTAATTAACTTGCATTAAATTGCATTATCCAATGATCCAGTGTTTACTAGTAAATACATGTATATCCCCTGAGTATTCCATGTGGGTGTCAGTTTTATAAGTCTAACTTTATTCTATGTTGTGGTCAGTAGGCTTTTGCATTTCTATCGAACTACAATTTTGGAAATTGTAGAGCTTCAGTACACTTTATAGAACAGTTTTTTTCTAAAAGAATAAGTTAACTAAAGAAATGTCAACTGAGGTACATGTACAAAGATTTTTAAATACACATTAGTTAAAATCTAGGATAATGGATTTTATGTGCAATGAAAACAGGCTGTGCTGTGTTGTAATGCTGTTCTTTGTCTTAACTTTGTTGCAGAAACAATATCCTCAATTCCTCTTCAGTTAGAGGAAGATGACATTGAAGACTTCTGTTCTTTAGCTCAGTATTATGTGTCAAGGACACCACAGTCCTTTAGAAAGGTTAGAACCAGTTCATGGTGTTACTAACTTGTGCAGGTAGAGATATGAACAGGGAGCAAACTGTCATAATTTAATTACTATATTTATACACAACTGTAAACGATTTAGATTCAGTCAAAGTAATGATGCATTTTGGATAATATCCCAGTTGTAATGAGTTTTTAGAAAATTAATAATTTGAATGTCTTGTACATGTGTAGTGAAAGGTCTGGACAGCAGGAAAGTCACCTTAAAGTTTAGATAAAAAACAACGATTTTCAATATAACAGACATTTTTCTGCAGAAACGTCTCCCTCCATCAGTACAAATGTTACATGCTTTCTTCTGTTTCTTGTATACATACTAATTAGCATATTCTAGTTGTTTATATATTTAACCAATCAGAGTGCCTGCAGAATCTTTTAAAAGTTACTATGTTTATCGATTTATGCACACTGTAACCTTGTATATAAAGGCATATGAAACTTTTAATAAGGTTCATTCTTTACAAGTTATTTAGACTTCTCTGGATTTGTTTCACTCTACAGGATTACTATAATCAGCTATTTGGTATCAAAACTATTAATTCCAACAGTATTTCTCAAGCATTGTGTTTACCGGTTTCTGTATCAGAACTAGTTGAAGTGAATCAATCTTCCAAGGTATGTTTTATTTTCTTTCCTTTTAGCTAGTGATTTAGACAAACTGTGATGCGATAAAACTCAGTCTTGTACTCTTAATTATTGTTAAATGTTTTTTACCCCATTTGTTTTCCAGAAGGATGGTGTGAGGTTCTTTGTAGTGGACTGCAGGCCTGCAGATCAGTACAATAGTGGTCATCTTCCAACTGCTTTTCACTTGGATGCTAACTTGGTGAGGCGCAAAACAGAATTTAAGTTATTTCCAGTTCATAGCCATTGATATTTGCAAGTTGGAAATACCCAGTTGTGTGCATGTAAGCTGTGTCTGAGACTTTACAGAAGTGTCATTACATCCATCTTTAAAGTGAAGCAAGATTTCCTGGAATAAAACTAAAAACCAAGGGTCCAGGCCTGGCTATTCTCACACCTCGTCAGTCATTAGTTAATTACTAGTCAGAGCATTTAACAGCAATCAATATGCAATCAATTTCTTACGCAGAACATCTTGATCAATACTTGTGACTCTTGAAAAACTTAAGGCTGTGCATGCATGTTAGTTCACAGTTTTGAGTGATGTAATTTCCATCATTCTTGCAGATGTTGCAAGCTCCATCAGAGTTTGCCACAGCAGCCAGTGCATTGTTTGCCACACAGCAGCAATCCATTGAAGCAGGATCTGCAGCAAGTGGGGAACATTTGTGTTTCATTGGCTCGGGACGTGAAGAAGAAGATCAGTATGTTCACATGGTCATTGCTAACTTCCTTCAGGTATCTACACAATTGCAGTGACAGGAAATGTAGTGTCCTGAAACAGTAGTTGTACTTGTAAAGGTTTCATGTGATTTCAGAGAGCAGACAGACCTACCAAATTAGGGGAACTCCATACCTACAATGGGTGACAAAAGTATTTGCGACACTTTTGCAAAATACCACTTGTCTAGGTGGAAGGTGGTGGGGGAGGAGGAAACATTTCCAAGGCAATCAAAAATAGAATTTAATGATGAAGGGTTCTCAACATTGTACAATTACATGTTGATGAGACCCAAAAATTTGATAATGCCATCACACATTTCTGTTTCTTGGTGTACTTTTTAAAGCATGTGGATTTTACATTTGGCAACTTACATGTTAGTGCCTTGTAACTTGTACATGGACAAATCTTGACTTGTTTAATATTGGTTTTCTGTTTTCAGAAAAAGTCCAAATATGTCAGTATCGCACGTGGAGGTTACCAAGGTATGTTGTTGTTTTCCAAAGTTGGGCATGGTTAATCCGACCTGAGGGTTGTTATCAATTTGGGAAGTAGAGGGCTAGTTGCATGAAGTAGATGGCTCACACTGCTTTGCGTGCCGCAGGAACAAGCCTTTAGGGTGTTCTGGGGCCATGCTCCCCCAGAAAATTTCGACAAGTTCCAAAAAACCTGTTGTAATATCGATATTCACATTGTGCCAAAAAGATCGTGATTCACCGGTGCATTGGTGTATCATTGCAGCACTACTCTTTACAACTTACACACATATTATATTTTCATGAAAAGTAGGCAGTTCAGAAATCTAAGTTGCCAGTTTTTTAGCTGGTTGCTGTCGCTTAATGAGAACCCCGCACTACGCACGGAAGTGTTTGGCCTCTGTTTGTCTTTGTTTGGCAGGGATGCATAAAAATTGCTACTGAAACTGTTAATTAGTCACTAGTCAAGCCTCACTGGAATGTCCTGAGTCCAATTTGTTCCAACAGGGTAGGATTACTTTAAGAATAATCACAAAGAACAGTTATAGCTGTGTTCAAGGCTTTGCTAGTTGTTCATTTTTTGAAACTACATTCTCGATCCCCAAGTTGTGTAAGAGTGTATAAAGTTGCACAAGTGTCAATGAACTTGAGAGAAGTATGCTGAGCTTACTGGTATTTTTCATTTTGATATCAGCCCTGCATGAACTGTTATCTGACAACTTATCAACTGGACTGGCAGACCACACATCCAATACCTGTATTGTCTGCACACCAGAAGCGTTTTCAGAAGATGAGGTTAGTATTGTTGCCGTATACATGAGTCTCCAGGACTTAGAAACGAAATATATACATGTCATTTGCAAAAAGAAAAGAGTACAAATGTACAATGTAATGAGAATAATTTAAAGGATCTTTGGAGGTTTTACGAGTTATTTTGATTTATTATTCCTGAAGACAAAATTGGCATGTATAACAGTACAACTGGAAAATAAAAAAAAAAAAACAGGTAACAATATTGTACTTACGAAGTTTTTTATTGGGCCCTTTTAAATGAGAATGATATACTGCAGTCTACTGTAAATACTTGTTGAGAATATCATGTGGTCAATTTTTCCTCTTTTGCATGACAGGCATAAGTTAATTAAGCACAAACTTTATTTTCCTTTTTCTTCCCTTCTCGTCTTTTTTTCTTCCATTTTTATTTTTTCTCCCTCTTCCCTTCTCTTTCTTTTCCTTCAGTTCATTGCACTTTCCATTTCTATTTTTTCCGTTTACGTCGTACACTGATCCTTTGTCTTGAAACCAGGTCTACCAGTTACACTGTTTATTATATGGCTAGCTCCCTGAGCGGGCAAGATGAATCAAATCCTGCGCTGTGATTGGCTACTCGAACTGGCAAGGTGGAGCTTTCTTGCCCGCTCGGGACTACCCGCCGTGTCCCGCAAGAAAAACTTTCCCGAAAGCCATACAATAGATCATTTATTGACCAAGCTTGTTCGATCAAGATTGCTGGGTATTGGCCAAGTTCTTTTTTTGCGAGTTTATGGACCTCGACTCCGTCTCGCTCCATAAACACGCAAAAAAAAGAACTTGGCCGATATCCAGCCATCTTAACCTCACACTTGGTCAATAACCCATACATATTGACTGCTGTGATAATAGTAACAAATAACTGATGCCAACTTTGGCTTGATTGTTTCTAGAGTTATCATGAACTATCCAGAGGGGAACAGAGCCCAAGTGATTCCAGAGTAAGGGACTGTATATGTAGCAAGCTTATTACTGACAACTTAGTTATTTTTTTGTGCTTAATGAGAACTGCTTAATCCACAGTGTTTTGGTACCATCTGAGGGTTAAACAACACGCTATACTACTACAGACATGATAGCAAATTTAAGATGATTTCCGCAGAACATTCGAACAATAATGACAAAAATAAAGTTGCCAAGAAACCTCATAGCATGGTAATATTTAGAATAAACGTAAGAAGAATTTATCGAGACTGAAGCTCTGAAGCTGACGCTGCGAGAGAAATTGAACTTGAGGTTATTTCTATTTCACTTAAAATGGACGTTTCGCGTTGGTTCAAAACACAATTTAACACACGCATTCTTACATGGGTCGACCTTAACTTTCTCGAGAATGCTTGGGGATTTAATCGCGGGGTCACCTAGAGAAATGAATTACAGTGAGATGTGATAAGTTAATAAAGATGGTGAATGATGGTGAGATGTTTTAAATAGTAGTCAAAAAGTTACCGTGCTGTAAGTAGACTTTTAGTAAATAATTTTTGCATGTATTTCTCGAAACTTCGAGCGGAATCCGTCTTAATTATTTTGTACACTGTAAGCAGTCCAGGAAATTTTGCTCATCTTTATTTTTATTAATTTAATATTAACTGTATGTGTTTTTATGCCACAGGGTGGCTTAGTCAGCATGCTTTCCTCAGCCATCAAATCAGGAACCCACGTAAGAGAGAAAATAGGAAAATATATCGCTGATTCTCACCATCCTGTAGAAAGGTAAGAATACAAAGAAAAACACTGATATCACCAGTCATGGGTCTTGCTTGTTAATGACACAATTTTGGTACCTGTTATTCAGATTAACTCGTTATATCTGTGTAGCATTACACCCTCACTGGATGCCAATCCTATCATTGTTTAGTCATCGGTCATAAAGGGGCTTTTGCACAGAATTTTCTGTACACGGTTTTGGGATAGATGGTAAGCATACATGTCTACAATATTATTGCAGGTAGTCCCACAAAGGGAAAAAAAGATACGAGTCCCCGATGGGATTTGAATCTACATATATACCCTCCTAGATACATGGAGGTCATGGGTTCGAATCGCAGTGAGGGTATTGCATGGTACATGTTAATTTAGAAGCCACTGATTATAGTTGTCATCGTGTTGTTTTTTACGTGATTGAAGCGCAAAGAACTGTATTGGCTAGATGGTAAATTATGTTAATGTATTTAAAGTGAGCACTTTTTTGTAATTTTTGCATTTTTTTACCAGACATGTAAGTGATAAAGACAGACAAAGCAAGCTGTATAGAAACGTTCAACCGGTGTTTAGTATCGACGATGACGATGAAGACGGAGGTATAGATCTAACTGTTTGATGTAACTGGTTTGACTCTGAGTGGATGAAATGTTCCTGCAGACGCATAATATTTGCAAATTGAGATTGTGGTTACCCAAGGAAACAACTAACAAGAATGAATTAAGCTGTCAATACTCTCCCTCCCTATCCAAAAAAGAACCTCAAAAGCGTCTGAAAAGAACCCAATACTGACAAATCAGTCAGTTATTGAAACTAGAAATATATGTCTGTGTTTATGTTTTCTTGGTCACTAAAGAAGACTTACGAACTACCGATCTGTTGTTGTTCATTTCAGCGGTTAGGCCGGCCGTCCACACTAAGCTGTCTCGAAAACGGAACTTTTCGAAAGCTCTCTTCAAACCACAGGAATTTGAAAACGCCGGCTTTGTATTTTAATGTGGTCGGAAAACATTTTGAAAACGGAGCTTTCCGAAATTGTTGATATCACGAAAATCATTTCATTTCCCGCTTGAGTTTTCTCAAACACAAATTCAAAATAACCGGTGATTGTTGCATTTTCAAATTTTTCGGCGTACAGTAGTGTGGACATGGCCTGAAGTGTGACCAGCATCTTAATCGTCATTCCATTTACATTTTGAAACTGCACGCTCATTTAAAGCCCCGGAGGCACTCTCCCACAGTATTTACTGCGTTATAACTCAAAACTGTGATTCTTTTCTTGTAACAGATAATTACAGCGCTAGTTCAGAGGAAGAAACGCGAAGAGAAGCAGTGAACATAGACACGTGGCTTCATCGTAAAGATGTCGCAGCGTCTTTTCAGTGCCACCAAATAATTCAAAACGGATACTTAACTCCTAGGTACGTCTACTGAATTTTCCATTGTTATTTCACCATAACCGGACACCTCAAACAGCCTGTCAGCAGACTGTTGCTCTCTTCTCTCCAGTTATTTCCCGAGCAGAGAACCCTCTCACGTGTTACGCTGAAATTGTCTTGCATAAAGATCAAACATACATTCCAAATGCGCTACCTCCTTTTATCATGCAGTATAAAATTTACACCAGAACCAAATTGTTACGATTTTTTCTGTTTCTTCACATTTTCTCATTTTTGTACACAATTCGCTAAGAATGACAGAGAACACTAAATACAGTCGAACCTCCGGTTGCGACCACCTCTCCTCAGCGACCAGTTTTCCAAAATACAAACGTTTCCAAGTCAAATCACTATATTTGGAACCTCTTGTAAGCCACCACCTCTCGTGAACGACCGCGAACACTTTTAGAGCGAAAAGTTTGAAATTTCTCTTGTTTTTAACCTCCCGTAAGCGACCACTTGAGAGATAATAGAGCGAAAATTGGATAATAAGGTGTTGTAACATCATCGCATTCCTGGGTAATACAAGAGATGGAAATTTCCCAATTGATACTACCGAATTTTTTCTCGGAATTGACCTTTCACATGAATAAAACATTTAAAACATGGGGTAAGACTCTGCTGTCACCATATGCTAATGAGGCAAAATTTGAACCCAATATGGTCTAAGCTCTCGTCAGCGACCACCTCACGTAAACGCTTACGGGAGGTTCGACTGTATTATAATAGCGTGTTGATCAAAGTCACATTTATTGACATAGTCTTCAAACAGGTTGTTTCTTGGGATTAGATAGGTTAACTGTAAAGGTGTAAGAGAAAGAAGAGTGGGAGAGAGAGAGTATCTCCCGCTCTAACTCCTTCCCTCTTACTTTCACCCTGTTTGGCCCCTAAGCAAATAATCTGACCACCCACTGTAAACTCGTAACTTGCTATCGCAATTCACGAGTTAAAAACTGACCTCCAGGCCATCATCCTTTCACAGATCTAAGTAGATACCTGAGTATGGGTCCTTCAGCAAAAATAGAGAACATAGTTTTTTTTGTTTTTATCACACTGTATTTATAATTCTACACTACGGCATGTACTGCTAACTAAAATTGAATTGTCAGCAAGAATTGTTTTAATAAGTTGCCAACAGACAATGGATATTGAAACAAGGCCTTGTTGTTTAATTGCATTTGTTTGAAAGAAACAATTATCAGTGAAAACACTGGGCAATCAGTTAAACAGACCAGGAAATAAGAAAAAGTGGGAGTTGTCATCTAACGGGAATACAGATTGCAGGTTTTCGTTATTGTTGCTTATTGGTAAATCATTGTAAGCAGACGTGGGAAAGGGGGGCGGGCTTATAACGGAGGGGTCTCAGTCAAGAACCGGAATTTTACTGTATATTTACATAACCTGTGTTGTTGTTTTCTTTTCGCAGTTATATTCTCCTTACGGATGTTCAAATGTTTGTTTTACGAGAGATCCCCAAGAGAGACGGCTGGGCTTACATTCAAAACAGACATCATTTGACTTCGGTGGTAAAAATCACGTCTAAAAGACGTCACCCTGACTTGATCACTTTTAAATATGGAACGAGTGATGGTGAAACCATTCAAGTCACCGAGACAGAAAGATATGTTATTCCTAATGCAAAGAAAGCAACCCAAAAGATCAAAGATAGAATACTTAAGTTAATTGACGAGCATTAATAATTACAGTGATTGAATTTATTCGTATTTATGGTTCAATTTTTAATAGGGCTGTTTGTTTTGATTTCAGAAGCATTCTCTGAACCTTATGAATTGTGTCAGAAAAATTATAAGGGAAAAGGGAAAAGGAAAAGGGAACATTTGAATGGCCCTTGTTGAACTCGGTATAATTAATGTCTTAGCGTATTAGCATACAATAAGTAATGTTTCCAAACTTTGTTCGTTGTATCTAGTATACTGTGACATGTGATTCTGTTTTAAGCACTCACTAAGATCCACTGAGTTTATCTCTCGTCATTTATTTCCAGAAATAACACAACTGCCATGCTCAGCCACCTTACTGTGGATGCCGGCTTTCTAAGTAAATTCCACTTAAAACAAGTTTTGAATGGATAAGGTTGTTATTCTGTTTACTCCTAACCATTCAATTTGATTTTGGCTCACTTGAAATGAAGAGCTTCTCCAACATCGAACATTGATCAGTGTTTACTTCGTGTAGATGGAAGAAAAGTTGCTACGTGACGACTTCTTAATGTGTAACATTTATTTATGACGGATTAAGAGAATTATTTCACCCAGTCTTCTTGTTAAACCTTCATGATTTTTCACTAAAGATGATAACGTTAGTATGGGACGCTCTTTCTGTACGTTCTCTGGGATACTTGTGTCACGTGTCAAATTAACCTCAAGATGGCGGACGAGGAGAGAGAGATGTAAGCTTCTAAGAGGAGCTTCGAAGGACGTTTAATGTGGTAATGGAAGCCCTAGAAAACATCTCAGGTTATGTAGGCTTCGGTTGCCGTATAGTCTTGTGCTTTGCGTGAAAAATAAATTTAAGTGGTGTGACGGTTTAATTTTGTTAATAAGAATGAGAAGAAACAAATTATTGAATTAGTAACTTTCAAGTATATTTTTCACTTGTGAATATACTTAGATCATCTGTATAGTGCAAAGTAACAAGTAAGGCAAGTTTGAATTCTGTTAATTTATACAAAAAAGAGAGATTTCAAATGTTTACTATTTTAACTTCAGAATTGTGAACTTGCTTCAATAAAATGTGTTAAATGTTTGTGAAAGATTCAGGATACAATAAAGCATGAACAAGCGTAAACAGAATACCTATTCACCTAGCTATTCAGAATACCTATACTTTCCTATTTAACAATTAGATTATTCGCTCTCGATTTCTATGAGGTGTATGAGGTGATAGTTGATGAGTCCGTAGCTCGAGATTTCTATTTAACAATAGAGTGTTTCTGTCGAGGAACTATCGGTTGATAGTTGTCCCACGGGAATTTGATGTTCTTAAAACAAATACTTGCCCGAGAAGCGAAGCTTCGAGGGCAAATATGCTAGTTTTAAGAACATCAAATTTCCAAGGAGCAACTATGAGACCGATAGTTCCGAGACATAAACACTCTATTGTCTTTACTGTTCACCACTAAATCTTCTTCCGCGCGCCAGTTCAAAAATCTTATTGAATTTTTCAGCTTTTTTAGATGAAAGCCGTGAAAGCCAAATGTAAAATTTGAAAAAGAAAGCAAACAAAACCCTTTTAATACAATGTCAATTGCTTACTTTCTGTAAGCCCGCTTGTTTACAGAAATATTTTCACGGACGAGTACTATCCATCAAATTTCCGCGGGGCAACTATCAGCCGATAGTTCCTCGACAAAAACACTCTATTGTTTAAATAGTTGACTCGGGCTGTGCCCTCGTCAACTTTCACGCATAGAAATCGAGAGCGAATAATCTAATTGTTTTAGGGTAAATCTACTAGTCGTTCAAAAATTTAATGTAAATCCTCTTCAAAGACACTTCGAAAACACAAAGAAGGGGCCCCCAGCGCACGCTGCTACGCTGCTCACTATCTGCATCAGAATAGATAGTGAGTTGCGTAGCCAATCAGAGAACGGCATTCGTGATTGAAGACTAGTAGATTTATACTACTGGTTGATAGTATATGAGTAGCTTAGCCAATCAGATTGTAGCACTTGCATTAGTATACTAGTAGAATTCTACTAATCACCGATAGAGAACACCTCAATGTAGAGCCTGAATTTCTTAGCCGTGTCTTTTGGTTGCTTTACTCCTGGCGGCAGAGTCCCTGAGCCATTTATGTGACCAACCCGTGACTCGGCCCAGTCGTATTACAGAGGAGTCTGTAATGTAGAGGTTGCATAATTTCAAAGAGCCTTGGTAACCGTAATAAGCCTATTTAATGCCGCAAACGTCCCAAAATCGAAATTTGTTGTATTTTTATTGAAAACAACTGCATTTCAGTAGCAAAGCGCGAAAAAGCGCAAGTGCAGCGTTACCTGGGTGGAGTGGGGAAGGTAAGGCTGGTTTTTCACCAGCGCACAAGTATAAGGCAGCAGACGAAGTGAGGACTTTTTGTTAGGAAATTTTTCAAACAAAAGGCGCTAAAAGTAGATTTGCACGTTGTCGTCATTTGACCACAACCACCAGAATTCCTTTCGTTGTTTAAATTTTGAAGTCGCAGTGGGATTTAAATAACAATTTAATACCCAGATTAGCAGAAGAAGCAAAAAAATTCAAAGATTCTGGTAGTTGTAGTCAAAGGACACCATCATGCAAATCGCGTATTCTCGGCATCTAACTGCGTGCATAACCCAACCTTGTTCTCATGTAGCTCTCTCATGTTGCTTCTCTCTTCTCCGCAAAGGCTCCCTTGGCGAGGGGGAGGTAGAAACGAGAGTGAGGATGCGCGTGGGGGACGATGGGAACAGCGCTTCCAGTTCTTAAGGGAGAGACGCTTGTGCGATACTGAAAACCAGCTTTTTATTTAACTTGTACCCTTCCGTCTTTTAAGCCACGTAATAGATGACACAGCTCGAAAAAGCTGTTAGACCTAATCTGTTCGTGGAAATGAGAATTGAAAAATCGCACACTAGTGGCAAATGTGATCAAGGTTCGATTTCTTGGGGCATCAAAGGAAGTCTTTCCACCGTTGCTATCGTTGGCATGGCCTGGCAACGACCTGCCTAGGCTTAAATTTAGGCTCTTTAGGAGAACTTGAGTGACCAGCCCAGCTTCTAAGGCCGCGTCCACACTACGCCTAAGGAATTTGAAAACGGAGGTTTCACTCTGAAAACGCATCAAATGTTTTCGTCCATACTACGTTAGAAAAATTTGAAAACCCAACAATCAGCGGTCATTTGGTGTTTGAGTAACGCTCGGTCAGGGAAATCACATGATTGTCGTAACCTCATCGTTTTCAAAAAGCTTCGTTTTCAAAATGTTTTCTCTCCACACTAAAACGCAAAGCCGGCGTTTTCGGGACGGCTTAGTGTGGACAGAAGGCCTAACCGAAGAAAGGAAGCTGCGTTTCAAATTCCTCCGGCGTGGTGTGGTAAATCCTCTTGAAATGAAGTTGGCGATTACAAGGATCTGCATGGAAAAAGTTTCAGGCTAGGCGACAGTTAAGGCTGAAATTTTCAGCCTCAAATCATGCTTGCTAGAAATGTCAGGCTACAAGTCAATATAATTTTGATTAAAAGTTTATTGCTTTTACAATCAGTGAAAAGAAGACTACAAGAAAGGTCTCCAATAATTATGAGATAATCCAAATTTGATCTTTCATCCAAAAGCACTCCAATTTTTAATACAGGAGTTCTAAAGTAATCCCTGGGGAGGGATCCCATGTGAATGAAAAGGCACGGGATGCTCGTCATCCTGCTTAGGGGTGTAAATCACACATGTTGGTCTCACTGAGGGTGTTCTGAACAAAACGCCACTATTTTCAGTTGTCCAGGTATCTTTTACGGTTGCTCTCGAAGAAATAATTTTAAAAAAAACCCACTTTCATGTCTATTATAAGGGATACATTTTGGGGATTAAATTAAGCGCGAGCCATGCTCAGACTGGTCTCCTGTAGGGGTTTAATTTCAAATTTTCCAATGCGCATCCCCAACCTTTTCACAAGGGAGTGCCCCCAGGGGTCACAATGACAGCAGAGATCTATACCATACTGTAAGTTACTCTCTTTAAAGGCTGGTTTTCACTAGCGATGGAGTCGTAGTCGGAGTAATAATCAGAAGTGTAGAGTGATTCGATCCAGTGAAAATCAAACTGATGGAGTCGGAAGCAGAACACTGCATCCGCTTGTGACTCCGTCGCTTACGATCCAGTGAAAACTAGATTGTCGGAGTCGGAAGCAGAAGCGAAAGAATAAACTAATCACAATGTTCGATTCCGGGCCTTGTGATTGGTTAGTTCTTCTGCTTTTGCTTCCGACTCCGACATTTCACATTATTAGTTTTTACTGGATCATAAACGACGGGGTTGTAAACGGAATTGGAAGAAATGGAAACGTTGATTCTTCCGACTCCAATTTCGTCGAGCTTATGACTCCGCTTACGACTCTGATTTTCGATTTTCACCAGGTTATGAGAGCTCTTACGACTTGGACTCCGACTACGACTCCGACTCCGTCGCTAGTGAAAACCAGCCTTAAGTTTAGACCTTCTGCCTTTGTGTTATTTGTGCAAAAACAGAATGAGGTTGAAAGAACAAGAAATTTTTAAAATTGTTACTTCAAAATACCACTATGTAATTACTCTAGTTGCAGTTCTGAGCCTTCCTCCAGTTTCTAATATGCTGCAATTGTGTTTTCTTTCTCACAATTCACTTTAATTCACTATATTTTCAATTGCTACAATATTTTGACCTCAAAATTCTAATCTATAAAACGGGAAAAAGCCGTCAAACTACACGGGATTCGGCAGGTCTGACTGTGTACATTTTTTTGTTGTATCATTGAAGAACCATAGTACAAAAAACAAATACAAAAAGTAATGAGATCAGTTGCTGTTTTTGTTGTCATTGTTGCTGCCTATTGAAAGCTTGCCTGATTTAAAAAATGCAATAAACTAGTTACTTTTCTTATCATAAATTTTGCCGCCGTCAACTACATTAACTACACACGAACCATTCAATTGAAGACCTCATGACCCACTCTCTGGGGCAGCCCTCACGTAGGTCTGGGCCTAAGATTTTGCTATTCTGTAGATCCGGCTCCTGGTTCAAATGTTCAAATGTTCTGTTCATGGAACGTAGATCCCATGTTTATACACATATATCGGTCTTCTTGCTCCTCAGTGTTTTCTGTAAGACGTGGGCATCAGCCGGTTCAATGTGCTTGTAGTATTGTTTTTTGGTTTCTATTATTTCAAATCCGAATCCCTTGTAAAATCCTATAGCTCCTTGATTGCTAACTTGGACATGCCTGCAATTAAAAAGCAAAAAGAATTCTGCTTATGACTTCTCCCCAAGAACTTTCTTCTTCAATAGCAAGTTATTTCTTTGAGTACAAAAGTTAAAAAATAAACAACTTGTTATTGTTCAATGAGATCCTGGAGACAAAAGATCAATACAGAACATAAGCAAAAAAACAAAAACAAACAATTACATGTACAGCTCAGTTACTAAAAAAAAAAATTCCCCTCTAGAAAAGGCTTATTTCATAATTTGTTTATCTAGCAACCTTGTTGCTGTCCCCTTTAGAGTTTTGAAAATCTTATACTTACAAATAGACATTGTCAATGTTGCCATCTTTTTCACAGCATTTCAATACATGTTCAAGCATGACAGTTCCTAGAGTAGGAAAAAAATGTTGAAACATGACACAATTTTATTATAATATATTATCAGTGTGCCACATTTTAGTGGTTATAGCAGTAAGTTATTTACCTGCGAGCAAAAGGCTGTTGTGTTAAACGAAATACAGCTCAACATTTAAAGAACACTTGAGAGATAATGACAAACTCTCAGTCTTCTGCACATATTTTTCAAGTTCAATAAACATTGCTACTTATTATATTTAATTACCATTTCTGTTATCATTCGATGCATTTTTTCTTCCTTTCAATTGGCCGAGAGCCAACCACATGTCCTGCAAATAACTGCCTACAAATAATGGTCTGCTCATGTGTAGTACGGTCTAAATGTGTTTTGCTGCAAATATTCTGCTCATGCGTAATGTAACCATGATCTCTGGTGAAACATGGGGGATTTCTCCCCTGAGCTCTCAGAGAGTGATTAAAATAAGCAAACAAATTTGGTGATCGAATGATAAAACATTATTGACCTCAGTTAATGCAAAAAATCGCTATTTGTCAGTGTCTCACAGATCAATGATTTGCCTTGGCCTTAAGGCATCAGCAAATAATTGATCTGCTCACCACTGACAAATCACGATATTTTGCCCAACCTCGTCCAATATTTGTTAATTATCTGAAATCAAGCCTTTGAACTGAGCATACATGGGGTGTACAGTGACATGCTTCTCTCAAAATATTGGCAAATAACAAATACAAATGTTTTTCTATCAACCTACCAATACCAAGTCTTCTATATGGGGCTAAACATCCTAATGTCATTATGTAAAGTCTTCTTGCATCTTCTGTCTGGTCAATTCGACAGCAAACTGCACCAACTACAATGTCATTGTAATAAGCTAGTAGAAAGAAAAAATACTGTGTAAGATCACTATGTAACGGAATCATCTATAACATGGATATGTGTTGTAGTGAAAGGTACAACAAAAAAAAGGAGACAGCTGAGTGAATTTCGACATATAGTATTTAGACCATAGTTGGTCTGCTAATCTTAATTTTACTCAAGTAGTAATTGGTTTGGATATAATTAAATATCACAAAAACTTTGAATCCGTTTCATGTCAAATATGTGGCCCAAAAGCCAGAAAAAACCAAATTCAGCGAAGATCTATCCACCGGAGTTGTTTACAAAATTAAAGGCAAAGATTGCGAAAAAGTGTACATTGGATAAACCTCGCGCACTTTAAAAACAAGAGCAAAAGAGCCGTTGTTAGAGGTGATAAGGGAAGGTACGTTTTNTGATACCTTCTTAGACTCAATTTCTGCAAGGCTAACAAATCTCAGGCTTGCAGAAAATATGCTATTGTTGCTGTCTCCTGCACTTGCCAACCCAAAAATCTACACCTTTTACCTCCACTATTTGTAACTTTTTTGGATGAGCTATCAGTGTTTCTGCCAGACTGTGCCATTGCGGGAATCCTGGGTTGCAATCAGTGATGGCCCCAAGAAAACAAAAAAAGGGCCAATTTGGCCTAAAAAAAGGTCTTCGGGGACCACTTTGGCCCTCAAATAAAATTTTCTGGCTGAAACAGCGACATATTCATGGACTTAATTTTGCAAGGACAGATTTCTAAAAAATTGGCATTATTCTGACACACAAAAATGCAATAAGATAATGCCAATGAAATAATTAAATACTTTTTGAGGAACCATTAATGAAAACAACAATTTTCAAAGAACTTTTGCACAGCCTGGTCACTTCCCAAGGAATCCAGTTTTCATATTCAAATACACTTTCATAGTGTGTAAAGAAGAGAAGCTTATCTAGTGTGAGAGGAGGAAGTGACCTTCCTATTTTTGTATTTATTTCAACAGGACTGTCTTGGGTCCGTTCAACAAAGATAGTATTTATGACTTTACAATTTTGTTTTCTAACGGTAAACTCCCCAAAAATACAATACTAGAAAAATCTTTTACTCTATTTACACCTGTACATAAAATTTACATGCTAAAGTGTTTTTGCAACAGATTACAGCATACATAACATCACCGAAACGAAACAATTATTATGCAGTGGAAAACATATTTCTCCATTCCACACCCAAATATGAAAGGGTAAATCAAACTTTATAAATGTACTGTACAAATGCACTTCCTCGACTGAAAGAATGTAATACATTACTCTATATTGATCACAGCTCGTCGATGATCACGGGATCACTGGAAGGATAAAAATCAGTTGTTTATACCATCAAATTCATCCTCTACTCTAACCTTTTAGACGCTATAAAATCCTAATGGCCATAGTCAACTTTTTAAAATTATTTTCAAATATGATCGCAGGCTCGCATGCATACGACCATCTTGTCTTTTAAATTGCATTTTGATCATAATCCATTGAAGAAAGTAAGGAAGAAATTGCTCGCAAAAAGAAAACTAGTCTTCCTCTGCTTGAAAAAGCAGACTGACAAGTTACCTCCTTACCTTATCGTTGTAGCTCACCGGGAAGACAACAGAATTCAATTTCTTCAGCTGCTTGATGTTATGTGGAGTGACATCGCCTAGCTCCGTCCTTCCTTTCCTAACAAACAGATGATAAAATCGAACAATCAACAACGAAGCGATCGAAGAAATCGGCAAAGAAATGTTCTTACGGTTTCATGGGTTTGGAGATTACAATTTCCTGATGATTGGACATATTTTTGCGGCATAACCTGTGGAACGATTCCCGCCAAACAGCACTGCACATGCTCCAACATGCGCCAACCTCGCTTTCAAACTCAGGTGGTTGTTCGCTGGATTCGTCTTCTTGCGGGCTCAACTTTTAAGATGGCGACATTGGAGATCCGCCTGAAAAGGGTGAACAAGATTTATTTTGAAGGAGTAAGTGATTTCTTCCAGACTCTTTCACTGAATTCGTGCACGTAGTGAAAGGGCTTGGTTTTCCACAGGCCTGGTTATGTGATTGCTTTGTGTATGTAGCGACTATTAGAGACTAGTCTATGTCTCGTTCTGTTTTGTTTTTGCTGGTTTTTGTGTTCAACATTGAAGTCTTGGCTAAACATCAGTTTTGTGTCAAAATACTCCGGCTAACTCCGTGTTAATTCATTCATGCTTATGGTACTGCAAGGGATGAAAGAGGACGGGTGAAAGTGGTACCTCTCAACAATTATGACCTCTTGCGGTCTGCGTGCAGAGTATGAACATTTTATGTTTATAAGCTCAAGCTTACTTACTTTGCGATTCCAAAAAGCGTGAACACTTTGATTCGAATTTGGTGTTTTGGCAGGTTTGACTTGCGTGCAAACTCACATTGGGTTGTTGGCCCGGAGTGGGTACTCCCAGCAAAATTTGGTGGGGGTGTACAGCCCGCTTGCCAAAACCCTTACCCTATTTATGACCAAAATCTGCAATTTTCCCTACCCAATTTATGACCTGACAAAAAATTTGATACCCTATTTATGACCCTTAAATCAATCGTTTCAGGCCTGCCTTATAATTAGTTCGCTAGTTCAGACCAGTGTTAAATTGTGGTAAACGTAATTTGTTAATAATCTGCAATTGCTGTTATTAGATAGTAAATAATCCTGACAATGTACTAACCTCGTAAAGAGAAATATGATGTAGATCACTATGGAGCAGACTTATAGAAATGAAAAACATATATTTAGTAGAGTTTCAATTTTGTTTTGATTTTCCAGGATATCGTTAAGGGTGTTATAGTAGTTCAAAGTCGTGGAGAGCTACCTCACAATGGCATCACTCTCTCTATGGAGGGAGTAGTGAACCTTCAGCTGAGCGCCAAGAGTGTTGGAGTATTTGAAGCATTTTACAACTCACTCAAGCCAATACAGCTTGTCAACTACTCCCTGGAGATTGCAAAACCTGGCAAATTATACCATTCAATGTTTCCTTGTTGGTCATCATAGTTTATTAATGTTATGATTGTCTTGACCATCTGTTAGATAGTCTGATGCCTTTGAGAAGGATATCACAGTATTAACTTTTCAAAGGTTTAAATTAGGAGCATTGCTTTACTTTTAAAATTGTAATCATGTTAAGTTTTCTGCACCTCACAAAAACATAAGCCTGATTAAAAGTTAGAAAAGTAACATTATATATAGTGTCCTACAGATTGTGGCTCACTTTTGGCACTTTAATTTTGGGGAGATTTTGGATGTGTAAGAAGTTTATATAATGATGTCTTGTGATCCTCTAGCTCTTTTTTAGTTAGCCCTATTTTAGATTTTTTTAGATTTTGAGCAATATCCTTTACATGAAACATTCATCATCTCCTGGATTTTAATTATCTAGTTTACATCTATGAAACACTTGCTTTCATAAAGTTGTAAATGTTTGAGTGATGAGTTGAGGTAGATTTAAATGACTGCAATGTTTACGCCAAATGGCAAGACCGAACTTCCTTTTGAGATTCCGCTGAAACCCAAGGGTAACAAGCCACTGTATGAGACATATCATGGAGTGTTTGTCAACATTCAGGTATTCCTATGTACTTATTTTGTTTCTTGATTACAATAGAATATGAATGTGTATTAATGAAAATTTCATCATGGGTCAAGCATTTTTTCCTTTGAAGTGGACAAAAATGGTATAAAAATTCAAAGCAATGTCAGACATTTTTCCCTCCACTCTCTTATCTTCCTTTCTGTACTCTTGTACTTTTTTTTCATTGCTCAGAGTAATTTTTGGGCCTTTTGAAGTCATAAAACCCCAGTCTGTGGCTCACTTGGTACAAGAGAATGATGTTTTCATTAACACCATTTTCATAAATCCAGTCATACATGTACATGTAAATTGACATATCATTTAAGTCTGTGTTCAAACCTAGTGATGACCCTAACAGCCATCCCTTAACTCTGGTTTTTGTGACATGAAGTGACTAGGAGTATTTCTGCCATCCCTTGGATCATACAAAAAAAAAATCAGAAATTTGTTGGAAATTGTTTTGGAAGATTGATATCAGGCATAGAGAACATAACCGAATAAATGGATTATTCAGATGAAGGATACAGGGCTGTGTTCTAGAAGCATCCAGGTGCCAGGGGTGACTACCCTCTGACTTGTTGACTGGAAAAACTTACTTTTTTCATCTACATGTAAACTTGAGTGCTGGACACCAGGGATTTCATTGTTAGGAACCTTTGGGGTCCTCAAAATTTTTCTTAGACCACAGCCTTGGGATATGATACAAATTTGGATTTTTCTTTTGTTTAAATATCAGGTCACTAATGTATAGATTTAGCCTAGCCTAAAAGTGGAGCTCCTGGGCCGGGTTGCTCAAAGCTTGATTATGCTAACCCAGGATAAGCGAGAATCTTGATATGAATTTGGTAACTTTGCGGTGAGGTTTTCTGTATATTGTTTGGCCTTCTGTTTTGAGTTTGAATAATCTCAAACTACACAAAACAAAAGCAGTGAGATACATTTGTATACAGGAAAAAATTATAATTAAGGTAACTTTTGATCCTGGATTAGCTTTAACCAGCTTCCAAACAACTATTGAAAACAGGTTAACCTGACATAAGCCTGCAATCCAACCGAAAAATAGCACTTGGTCAGCGGTCACCTTAAAACAAAAAACATGTGACCTTGATCAGCTCTAAAATTGAGCCTGCGATATGGTCATGTGATACTGGTCAGCGGATGCCTTGTTTTGACAGGTGTCACTTGACCATAACATGGATGTCCAATATCAAAGAAGTACACTATAATCCAAGGCTGCATGTCTCTGTTAACCTAATAGCTGTGGTATGGGCACCATCTTGCATGACTGTCGTCGTTGTTGTCATCGTCATTGTCGTGCAGACACACTCATGAGCAAAACCGCTAGCCATGATAACCATAAGAAAATCAATGCCTGGGTTTCCTTTACTTTCCTTTTTGGGTATGGGGCTCCTCTTGGTGGCCCTTCAGGCTACCGGAGCTCCGCTAATATATCATTAGGTAGCCCATCACCACTGTGTCAAGTTCAATGCATGTAGTGAGGATACAAAAAAATGGTGATATTTTCTTTTCATTTTGAACAAAATCTCTTTGTAGTGGGCTACAAAAGCTGACTGAGATTTCCTTATTTTGTAGTATCACCTCAGAAGTGAAATGAAGAGGTCATTACTAAACAAAGATCTTCAGAGCCAAGCTGAGTTTATTGTGGAGAACAGGGTTATAATTTTATTAGCCACTATCATTAGTTATATATTTGTTTCTCTTAAAAATAAGGCCACTAACTTCAGGTATTAGAGCAGTTTTTATTTGAGTGTTGAAAAGCAATTGGTTTTGCACTTATTACACTATGTGATTGGCTAAGGAACTCGCGCCAGTTTTTTATCCAATCAGAATTAAAACCGAAACCATTTGTGACTTGTTCGCACATGTTTTCCCACACTTTGCATCAGCTACATGTAATTCAAGTTTTGATTGGTTCACTGTATTTATTATATGTGCCCTTTGTGATTGGCTAGAGTGGTTACTTTGGTTTTGGTTTTATGACACATAATTTAAAACCACTCCAAATGTATTTTCAATCAATTGATCAGTAAGAACCAACAAGATGTCTATTATGCAATTCCAGAAATTGTCTTTCTAACTTAGATTACGAATCATGCAAGCCAGTGTAGAACTCCAGCTTCAGTATCAAATCCTGATTATATAATAACCCAAGTTATTCTCGCATTTTGATTGGTTCTCGCCTATGATCTATTAGAGGACAGACGCACGATTGACGTCATCATTACAAAGT